ACGAGTGTAACAATAATAATTATAAAAGAGATTACTTATTTAACTCTGCATCATAGTTTTAAATGTCTCACAAAGCAAAATTTTATATACAACATACATAATGTTTATTGTGCTGTGTGCTATTGTTTCTCATTTATGAGCATTGAGCTTTATTACAGAGCTAGAAATATTAATTAAAACGCAGAAATCATGCGGTGAGGTTTCCAAGCTTCATTTAATATAATAGTCAAGCTTCAAACTCTGGCACATGAATTTTGAAAGGAAGGGAGTTTACGAACCTAATTATCCGCATGGTATTCTGAAATAATTTAAATTTATTATGAATGCATTGAATTGTTCACTGTAGTTTCTATGCGGAAGAATAATTTTTTAGCAAGCCTGTCCCGATGTTGGCCAACGTTCAATTGCCCGACGTACGGGATTTTGTATTGACCTAGATATTACGTGAAATCAATGTATTTACCGTGCTGTATAAAGCTTATGCAACCATTATGCAGTTGTAACATCATTATTTTGAATTTGTATAGAAAAAGCTTTCGCACTACCGTTCGAGTTTTGAAAGGACTCGTTTTTCGTATGATACAAGAGAGAAAATGAAATATTATTAAGCGAAATAATTAATATTTACTTGATGCGAAGTTAATGTTGATCTCTCATGGCGTGCACGATGTTCTACTAATATTTATGTGATCTGAGGTCAACATTTACCCGATTCGATTTTCTGTTCCTGTTTGCCACTGTGGCGAAGGATGCTAACCACGTTTCCTGTGATTAATGCTCGGAACGATACTTGGTCATTTGCTATATTCTAATTCCTATTGTATTGCAAAATAATTAATGACAATCACTTGTCTTGAATGAAAATGGTTGAACATAAAATGGATTTAAACAATTTTTAGATCCATTCATCTTTGGTCGAAATTGTACGTTATATTTCATTAATAATTCCTGTTCTATCGCAAAATAAATGATGACACATTCAAGGGGTGAGATATCGCAGAGGGTGGCTAAGGGATCGGCAGTGTTTGGTAATTCCGAGATCGACAAATTATTCGCCGCCGTTAATGGGACACGCGCCAACATTACAGCCGATGTCGGGGGTGGATCCGTGGTGCAGTCCACGAGTGGATTAATTAAAGGAAATCGATTGGCTATCGATAAGATATGGCACGGTCACAACGGGAATCCCCACGCTTTACCTTCCTCCTTATCGCCTGAAGAAAAAGAACAGTTCCTCTATCTAATCCTAAATTAGTTAAGTAAACGGTTTTCTACTTTTTATTCATTCATTAATAATCACTTCTTTTATATTATATATGTTGAATTCAGTTTCTCTTCAAATAGTGGTACTGTATTTTCTATTCATTTTTACTTTCATATTCTGAAATAATTTAAATTTATTATGAATGCATTGAATTGTTCACTGTAGTTTCTATGCGGAAGAATAATTTTTTAGCAAGCCTGTCCCGATGTTGGCCAACGTTCAATTGCCCGACGTACGGGATTTTGTATTGACCTAGATATTACGTGAAATCAATGTATTTACCGTGCTGTATAAAGCTTATGCAACCATTATGCAGTTGTAACATCATTATTTTGAATTTGTATAGAAAAAGCTTTCGCACTACCGTTCGAGTTTTGAAAGGACTCGTTTTTCGTATGATACAAGAGAGAAAATGAAATATTATTAAGCGAAATAATTAATATTTACTTGATGCGAAGTTAATGTTGATCTCTCATGGCGTGCACGATGTTCTACTAATATTTATGTGATCTGAGGTCAACATTTACCCGATTCGATTTTCTGTTCCTGTTTGCCACTGTGGCGAAGGATGCTAACCACGTTTCCTGTGATTAATGCTCGGAACGATACTTGGTCATTTGCTATATTCTAATTCCTATTGTATTGCAAAATAATTAATGACAATCACTTGTCTTGAATGAAAATGGTTGAACATAAAATGGATTTAAACAATTTTTAGATCCATTCATCTTTGGTCGAAATTGTACGTTATATTTCATTAATAATTCCTGTTCTATCGCAAAATAAATGATGACACATTCAAAACTAAACTGCTAGAATATGAATTAAACAACGATTTTGCTTTAATTATTCTTTCCTGTTTCATCTCCTATGTTCATTAATTTGACCTAGTTAATTCTCACGTGAATTGAGGTGCTCGATGGGAAAGATCGATCTTTATCCTCAAAGCGGCACTTGAACGTCCTCGCTATAGGCCATAGGCGATTCTGTGTCACATTATGTCGCAGAGGACTACAGCTGATCAAACATGTATTCTTGTTTGGGATACACATTGCAAGTTGAATATATTACAACAAGGATACACACAATGTGTACATGTTTCGTTGAATGTACCATAAACATTGCTCATCTTAGCACACAGAAGATTGCTATCAATTTCATACACGGTTTGGAACCACCTCTCCTTCTATTTAACTTTGCTACAGAATTATAATTTGATAATGAATCATGAATTTGATTAAACTTGCATTTCAAGTAAATGTATATTTTAATTTAATGATTGTTAATATTTTTGACAGGGAAACTTGTACATTATTCATATAGAAGTTAAAAATTAAGACATATAAGAAGGTGTGATATATTTCTATAAAGTCGAAACACTTAACAATTGATTTTAAGTATACTCGTTCAACGTCTCATTCAGCAACATATTTTGCAATATGTTTCAAGATTTATGAAGAGGGGTGTATGTCTTAGTATGCTTCCGATGGCAGAAGTTCCCGATCGTTAGTGGTGGCTCGACGAATCTGTGAATGGGAACGAAGCTCCTCGAATCGAAGTAACAATGGCATCGTTGACACGAATCGCCGCCAAGTGTCATCGAGCACTCCCGCGACACGTCGAGTTCCGCTAATATCAGGACAGTTCGAGGCAAAGAGTTGCGATCCGAAACTAAAATTGACGTATCATCAAGAGAAATCATCTTTCCCTCAATATTCCTGAAACGCTTGGTAGAATCTTGAGAAGATTCTTTTATACGATACCAGAAGAGTTATTATTATACACTTTATCATATAATTATTGTGTCATATTTTATCATATTATTTCCAAGCATTATTATTATCACCTTACATTGTACATTATATTTTGCAATTTATTATATGTACATCACCTACGGAATGTCATCACTGCGATTTAAATTGCATGCACACAGAGCATTAAAGCAAATGATAATCTCTTGCATTGAAACGAACAACGTTTTGACAAGAAAAAGAGGTAAATAAGATCCGTTTCAAAGGAGACGGTAATTTTTCACTTGGAAGTGAAATACGGGAGAAGCCGTCCTCTGCGTGCCACCGAGGAAAATTATTACGCGGAAGGTCGCGGCTGCCGTAAAACGATTCCGAGTTTTTTCGCGATGGTCTATGACATGAAAACACTGATAAGGCCGCGAGCGAGGGTATTTCGTCAACGATACCGAGAACGAAATGGCCTACGAGGGGGGTCAAAGGCCAAAAACGAAGCGTACAACGTGCGGAATTGCTCTGATCGCGGTATCTCGTTGAATTAGACGTTTATACTCTACCATTTCGCTGGAAAGCTCGCTCGCTGCAGCATGCGAGTTACGTGAATGCGTCTAGCACGTATAATTTATGGACCGCGGATTTTTATGCAAAATGGAACATCTGTGGTAACAATTTAAATAGCTTGTTTTAAATAAATATTTCTTTCACCATTTGAACATTGAATTTTTATATTCTGTTAGTGTATTTCTATATATTCATTTTTTTATAAATGCATAAAATCTGTAGTCTACTAATAATTACTGCGATGGGTAATGTCCATTATTGCAGTTTGAGTAAAAAAAATCAGAGGTCAAGAAACATCGTATTTTTAGCAATTCGATAACAGGATTCGTGGAATGGTTGAAACGAGTAGAAAAAGTACGTACTCAGAAGTTCAATGAGTCTACTAATATCTTCTCTCTTCTTTTATCTGAGGGGAATTGTTTGTTTGCCCAAGTTACAGATGAATAATACAGTTTTATCAGAGCGTGTACGTGTTTCATGATTTTTTTTCTGCTCGTATCTCGTATATTAACGAAGGTACTTTTTTAACGATGCATCATCAACTTTCAACGTACTCGTTACTTTGTTTTCTGATTCATTCATATTCAACGTGCCGAGCTCGCGCCTTTGATTCGAAACCAACACAATCAGCTCCAGCAAACCGCAAACCCATTCTGTTTACCACTTATTTAACAGGTGATCAGTCGTTATTTCAATAATTTAATCATTCAATCCCGCTGATAAAAAATTCATTTGGTCGATTGAGCGTGGAAACGGATAACGGTTTTTCCACCTCGTTCCCCGTTAACGAGACGGTCTTTGTCCCGTGACAGCTTTCCTTTTTCCACATAGCTGGATGGGGTCAAAGGGCGATGAAAGTACGGTTGACCATGCTCTTAATCTCGTAACGCGACGTTTGACACTGTCCAGTCACCTTTTCGAACTTCAATGAACCCAATTTCAAAGAGGAGAATCACGCGAAGGGGGTGAAAACGGTATAACGCCATTGTACATTCGTTTGACACGTTCTTGTCTTGACACTGATAACGCACGCTGTTTACATCGGTCGCAATAACTGCACTCTCTTTTCACCGATAACGCGTGCCGTGATTAATGGGCAGAGATAACGAGGCTCCGTCTTGGAAACGCGCTATCCCAACTGTTAGAGGAAATATTCGACAAAAGTGCATATCACGTGCGCGAGACCATGTCTATTCAAATACGTGTAATCGTCAATCAATCAGGATGAATCGTGGTGAATTATCTTCGATATTATCTGTACCTACACTTCATTGCACAGATACTTACAAAATGAATTTGGGTTTGAGTGCATCTACTGAATTCAGTACTTTCTTAAATAGAAGGTTTCTTGTAAATCAATCAATGAACACACGTAATAAGAATATTATTTTCCAATCTCTGTATGAACGTATGTAACTGCGTTTCAGGTGGGTTCCTGGGCGACATTGCTTTACCAAACATCAAATACGAGACTGAATGGCGGCAGCAGAAGCTGAACAAGAGTTATTTGGAGGAGCTCGAGAAGTACCGCGACGAGGTCCTGAAAGAGGGTCTCCAGGTCGAGGAAGAGGGTCTCACAGGTAAATAGAAAAAGAATTAGATCCTCTCGGAGACGAGGAGACGTTTTCGTGCTAGCGACAGGTGTCGTTTCAGAGATCCTTCAATTTAAAAATGAGCACGACGCTAACGAGGCGCATCAGGAGAACGATGAGATCGTGGCTTCTCAAGAGAAATCCGAACCAATTATGGTAAACCGGAATCAATATAGTATGGACGGCGAGCCGGAGGGTGGATTCAGTTTTAACGCGAGGAACGAGGACGCCAGGCCTGGGGTGAGGGACGAGGGCGTTGAATTCAGGTAGAGCGGCGCGAGAAACTTTCACGTACAAAAATTACGCGAACGTTTCCAGCGTGACGATGAACCGAGATTTTCAGCTCCAAGATATGTGCCATGTGACGCCACTTACGTGGGTTTTACCTTCTTCTTTTTTTTCAACTGAGCAGACGTGGAGAAATTAATTAGAACGGTAGGAAAAACGTGTGGCTCAGTAATTTTTTTAACGCCAGACTCTTCTAAGCCATCGCGTATCATTTTTTATATAATTATTCTGATTCAAATTAGCAATTTGCGATACAATGTTCCATGTAATGATTCATACAACGTTCCATTTTAATTGCTATGAAAAAAAGAGAAATTCATTACTTGATTACGGTTACTACCGTGTCCATTTTTTAATTGAGATATTTCTTTATTTTCAATAAATATCTATTTTCCTTCCAATAAATATCAATATTCCCTCGAAAGGAACGGAACGATATTGACAAACAATATCGTAGCTACTAGCGAGATTCACCAATAAATATTTCGCGCAATAAATATCAGCGAGAAGAATAAAAATCTGGAAACCTACGCATTTGAACGTGTAGTAGAGTGTCAATTAAAAATATTAAGTCGACTTTTGTAGCAGCAATATTAATTAAAAGTGGCCGTGTTAATGTGCAGCGCTCGCTTTAAAGCGTTCAATGTTGTTATACGTGCGTGTATAGCATATTTTAGTTTATTGTCCCGCTGGAAACGTTCTCTAGCTCGGATATCGAATTTTCAAAGTAAATTTCGACACATTTATTGCATGTTCTAGAAACTTGCAACGAGAGATTCAAATTATAAAAATATTACAATGTATATTAATTAATATATTTGTTTCAATAATGTATTATATGGAAATTGACTTCTTTTTAAATGAACTTCCTTTTTTATGTATGATAAGACATTTTGAATTTCGTTATTGGTGTTTTTCTAAACTGAAGGCTAGAGTCGACAACCCCAGCGGCGAAGAAGAGGCACTCGTCTCGAAAACAGGGACGGCAAACCAAATCGAACGATACAAAATCGATGCAGTCGTTTTTGAGAACGTCTCAAGAGTTGAACGCGTTCCCCACGACCACTGAGAGCGCGAATCGGAGGAAAAATCAGAACGTGGAAAACCTGGAGGAATCATTCACCGTTCAACCAGAGACCAGCACGCAGAACACATCGAAACGGCGTCATCGACGCCATCATCGCAGGAGGTAGGTGCAAACTTTTGCCAAGTTCACGTTTAAAATGCATCTTACTTAAGGATGTATTGGCTATACAGTCAATCCCAAA